AAAGTGTCGACCGCTCACATTCACGCTTGTGTCCCTGAAACACGGATGGGATAATTCAATAAACAGAGGGATTTATTTAAACAAGATCTTTGTAATTAACTTATCAGGACCCAAGAGTCACGCACAACCTCAAATGAGATCTCAAGTCCATTTCCAGATCAGTCAGCAGAGTCGTCAGCGTTATTAGTTTAAGGCAGGCATCACAACTATTGCACAAAAAAATCTGATACATGATTAAAAAAAATGGAAGGAATATTCTCCACATTTAAATATCTCAATGTTTACATGTGATTTTTGCTTACTTTTATTGAGCTTCATCTCATCTAGGCTGAAATAGAGATGATAATATGATGATGGATACACAGTGACCGCAGCAAAATCTCAATCTTCACAAATGATCACAACTTTTATGAATTTTTAAGCATAAATACAATTGCCAGAAGTAAAAAGCTAAACGCAACCATTATGTGAGACCTCGTCTCCTAGAAAACATGGGATTAAATGGAGACCTAAAATCTCATGAGCAATAAAGGAGCAACATCTGAGCAATAAGCATCATCAAACTCAAATGCTGAATTCATATTTCTGAATCCTAGAGTCATAAAGATATGCGTTTCACATTCAGTGAATGTTGACATGCATGAATTACACATTACTGTATTCTTTCATATACAGTACATAATGATTTTGAAAACATAGATTTTAATTGAAGACATTCACCACCTGAAAACACTCGAATAACAATGAATATTCTAAAACGAAAATGTAATTCTAAACAAAAGCATTTGTCCACTTAATTCTGGCAAAATATTCTACAACTTTATCTTGAAACCGAAATGAATTTCAGCAGGGAATGAGATGAGCGCTTCATTCAGTACATCAAGTCAAACTGTTGAACAACCTCTGTGTGCCAGCTCTCCGTATATCACTCTACAGATTAAGTGTTTCAGTAAATTTCAGTTTGTGTACCAACCCCGAAGTGATCAAATACAATTCTGTGTCAAAATATATAGGCAAGACAAGTAGCTTGTTTAGGCATGGTTTGTAGGGAATTACAAACCTGCGCACATATATTCAAACGCACATGCGAATTAAAGCTCCAGTAGCTTTTTATGGCCACAAGAGGGCGCAGTTTCCAACAATAACAAAGGCGTAACATTACAGTGGTATGAAGTAGGTCGCGATTGCTAATAAGAGACATATCACACCGCCAGGTTATAAATGATTTCATCCTGTTGAACACAAGTGCTGGATTACTCACACAGGTCAGTTTATTAGACGAATTAAACGTGTGAGGGAAAAGCAGCGCTGTTCCACTTGGTCTAATATTACACTATCACTCTAAACGGCATTTAAATGTGTGTTGAAAGTTATAATGTTATTCTAGTTAAGTGTTAGTTCGTTTGTTATACGAAACTAGCAGCTAGGTCAACATTAGAGTAACATACTAACCATATTCATGACATTTTATCATGTCAAGCTAACGTTATAACATTGATTTGTTTTATGTACATTTGCTCACCTGTCTAATAAAGCTGTAAAGTCGTGACTCATGAAGTTCAAGTCCAAGTTAGTCACGGACGCTAACGTTAGCTCTCTGTCGAGTGGAAGTCAGATGCTAGCTCTCAGAAACGCCATGTTGATATTGATCCTCATTTTAGTTCTCCTTGTTTGTCTCAAAGTCTACTTGCCGTGGTCTATGTTTGAACGAAACAAGAACTGGGTGCCGCTAACGTTACTCACGACTACGCAGTTGGCCACGTCTGTCACCATGGTTACATCATCGCGGTACGAGCGGAAACGAGGATAATGCGGATATTGCGTCATTGACTGGCGACATTTTTTTCCTGGACGGCCAATTATTTAAAATAAAAGTCTGAAATAAAAGAACTTTGGAGATTTTTGGGATATTGCAAGTACAAAACTGCAGGAAATATATCACACTGTGCAAGTGATTTTGGGGTATTTCATTACAAATTTTCTTATGGAGCTTTAATGATGCATTCGTGACTCTCCAATTCAAACTCGTTCATGGAAATGAACGAATCTTTTCCGTGTCAACTTGTTCATTTCGTTCGTGGAATGAACCAAATGGCACGAAAGAGCTTATTAAACTTAAAACATTTTTTAAATGAGCGATCGTTTGGCTAGATAAGACCCTTATTCATCGTCTGGTGTCGTTTAAAGCCCTTTGAAGCTGCACTGAAACTCTCATTTGGACCCCATTGAAGTCCATTATATGTTTTAATTTCTTTTCGACTGAAGTAAATTATCAGCAAAAGTTTTTTTTTTAAAAGTGAACTACTCCTTTTAAGCCCTCATGTTTGCCATGTGTCCTGGCCACGCCATGTTTGTTTCACGTTTTTATTTGTAATAAACTCTACACTTGCCTCCAGTCAATAACTCAATTAAGTAGCACATGAAGCTTAAATAAAAAATAATAGCCTATTAATCATGGGTGTTAAATACGTGTGAATGGAATATAATGTAAATTCTTCAGCACATTTAGCCTAGTGCTCGTTTAAAAAATCATATGAAATGAAAACTGCAGTGATGTAATACTAACAAACACGCAATATAGATGCCGTCGCTGAAACATAAGTGTCAGCAGTTCCAGAAGTCCAGATGCTGTGATTATATAAGAGCTGAAAGAAAAGCCATGTTTATCTCTCAGGTGCCGTTAGAATAAGAGTATAAAATAAGACCCTCTCAAGCGCTGGATGAGTCTATAATGACACAGTGCTTTAATCTCAACACACATTCACTCTGAACACGGTGTTACACTGAAATGAAAGGATTTGATAGTCCTGGGAAATCTCCTTACAGCGACCCTATGCCTGCACAAATGCGCGCGCGCGTCCTCAAACTGCCTTTGAAAGTTTTAAAGGGACAGTGCACCCAAAAACGAAACTAAGACTTTCAGAACACGATGAAATCTGACAGCTTTCTGTCCCTCTACGCAACAACCACTTTTATGCTTCAAAAAGAGATCATAAAACTCTTCACATATAATCATTTGATCAGCTAACAAACATAAACTCAAACCTGCTGTGACAGGAGGATGGGGTTCAGTCTTCAGTCACATGATCCTTCAGAAATCTGAAATCTGAGTTGCTGCTCAAGAAACATTTCTAATTATCATCAATGTTGCAAATAGTTGCAAATGATGCTTTGAATCAAGAACAGCATCTATTTGAAATGGAAATCTTTTGAAACATTACAAATGTCTTCACTGTGACTTTTAATCCATTTGCATCATTGCTAAAAAATCGTTATATTTTGCATACTTTTTTATTTGAAACAAATAAATCAAACACATTTTTTGTAAATACACATTCAATTTATTACCAATTTGAACACTCTATCATTAGACATCAGTGACTTTATTTAAAACATTCATAATTTTTTTCTTTTTCCTCCAAAGAAAAGAAACATCTGAATTCATAATAACATCTATACAAAGACCATAACAGGAACAATAATGGGCTTAAAAAGTGTTCTTAATTGTGTCAATGGCAACCAAAAAATGACACGAGTCGCCACACGGTGTGTGTGTGTGTGTGTGGTGGCTTAAATCATGAGCTTTATCACAAGGTACAACAGCGTCTGAGATCATGCACTAAAGTGCTAGTGTTTAAAGGCATGCATATCAAACATGATATCTGCACAACCGCTGTCCGAACCCTAGTACACACATCCCGGAGAAATGTGCACAGGACGCCAGTGGAATATTGATCATGTGTGGAACCAATCCTAAAGCATCCCAATATAAAAAGAACATACATCATGAATCAATCGAAATATGATTCGGGATGTTGATTAACCCTCATGTCGTGTTCTGGTCGTTTTCCTGAAAATGATAGTTAATGTTATTGCATCGGACTCAAACTGGGTTTGATCTTTTTGATCAACTTTCAATTAGGACAGCTTTTGCATTTCATTTTGGAACGTATTGATCGTCGGCCTCCTTTATCTGAGCTTGTGTACCTCATTTATTGAGTTGACAAATGCCAAATCCATTATTTGGTGCTAATATAGTATATTATGAGAGAAGCCGTTTTAAAAGGCCGGTCATTTTTAACCAAGAACAACAAATTAAAGATAGGATTATCAGCTTACACTCTAAACAATGCTGGGTTGTTTTAACCCAAATTTGGGTCGAATATGGACAAACCCAGATGTTGGGTTAAAAATGTAATTTCAAATTTTTCAACTTTCAACTGTAAATTTATGAATAAAATTTTTAACCCAGCATTTGGGTTTGACCATATTTGACCCAAATTTGGGTTTAGATAAAGGGTTAAGATATTAGTAAATTTTGTAAAATTTAAAGTAGTAGTTCACTTTTGAAAAAAAAAAACTTTTGCTGATAATTTACTCACCCCATAATATCCAAGATGTCCATGTCTTTCTTTCTTCAGTCGAAAAGAAATTAAGGTTTTTAATGAAAAAGTTCCAGGATTTTCTCCATATAATGGACTTCAATGGGGTCCAAATGGTTCAAGGACCAAAAGACAGTTTCAGTGCAAACTGCAAACTGTTCAAAGGGGTTTAAACGATTCCAGACAACAAATAAGGGTCTTGTCATCACTCATTTAATAAATAAATAACAAAGTTTAAGTTTAATAAGGTCAAATGCTCGCCTTGCTGTTCTGTGATGCGCGTTCGTGACTCTCCTGTTCGAACTCGTTCATCAAAATGAACGAATCTTTTTAAGTTTCGTTCATTTTGATGGATGAGTTCGAACAGGAGAGTCACAAACGCGCATCACAGAACAGAGCAAGGCGACCGTTTGTGCTTATAAAACTTAAACTTTGTTATTTATTAAATGAGCGACCGTTTCGCTTGATAAGACACTTATTCATTGTCTGGAATCGTTTAAAGCCCTTTGAACAGTTTGCACTGAAACTCTCATTTAGACCTTGAACCGTTTGGACCCCATTGAAGTCCATTATATGGAGAAAATGTTTTCATCAAAAACCTTAATTTCTTTTCGACTGAAGAAAGAAAGACATGGACATCTTGGATGACATGGGGGCGAGTAAATTATCAGCAAAAGTTTTTTTAAAAGTGATACTCCTTTAACCCTGGTTGTCTTTTTAACCCCTGGTTAACCCCACTATCCTTTACGGTTCGTTTTAGTTATAACAGCTTAGTTCCAACTAATCCCGTGCATATTCCTTCAGGGTTTTGTGACTAGGGAAATGTGCATAAGTATAATCAGTGTCAATATACTCTCCTGTCATCATTTAACATTCAGTTTTACATTGGGTTTTAAAATACATTATGATTGACATCATATATCATTCGTCCCTGTCGAGCTAAGAGTGTGTGGTTTTCTCCTTTAGTCAAATTCTCCTTACAAAGTCTTTTTAAATTCAAGCATCAAAGGTTTCCGAACAAAATGGGATGTACGAGAAAAATAAGAAAATAGTTTTATAAACTATATATACAACACAGAACATAATTTAACACGGGATTATTTAACCCTCCGAAATTAAGAAACGTAAATGCATGTAAACTTTTATGCTGTTCTGACAAATATTATTACTATCCAGTATCAGAACGTCTGAAAAGAAGTTCGATGTTTTACGACCAACACATATAAAGTCATATGTATTGCATACATGTACATTGACACACACACGAGTACGGGACCGTTGCGAGGTCACGTGTGTGTAGGCACCTCTTATGGAACACTTTGCTGTGTTTTGCGTCAGTACATTCCAGATTCTTGAGAATTCCAAAACGGAACTTCTAGAATGTTTTGAGTTCAGCTGGTGCTCACAGAACTCTGCCCTCTAGTGGCAGTTCAATGGTTCTGAGAAAGGTTCTCGATGGTTCCGTCGCTCCGGCGGTGTGCGTACGTGTGGTCAGGCTGGAACGGGGGATGGTAAAGGAAAGTCAAAGCATATAATAGAGGGGCTTCGATTTCTGCGCACCTTTCACAAGTGAAACAATAATGCGCTCTAAATTCCAATTCATATTCACACTTGACAACTAAAAGGGGGGAAGTGCAAAAGGATGTATCTAGGCTGGTTACGTGTGTGAGGAAACCTCCTGCCCGGGCTCCTCGGTCTCCGGGACGGCCTGAGCCGAGGGGAAGAGGAACCTCACTGTGTGTTTGGGCGAGGATGAGGGCGAGTGGGCGGCCCAGCGGGACGGGGGTCGACGGTTAGCGGGACGAGCCGGTCGAAGGAAACGGGAGTCCAGAGGTGGAGCCACTGAGGAACGGGGCAAATCCTGCAGTCAAGGAAGAAAACATGTAGGCTTTCAAACTCTGAGCTTCTGCAGGAAAGGCTGGTATTTGGAGTCAAGTTAGTTGGTCCGCAACATTGTTGTTATTGTTAACTAAAACATAAAAAAAAAAAATATTTGTTAATAGAAATAAGGCTGAAATAAAATATTGGATGGAAAGGTTAAATGCTGAAAAACTCAAATAAATAGGTTGAATTACTAGAATTGCTAAAACTAAAATTTAAATACAAATAAATAAGGAAATACTAAAAAAAGTAAAACTGATAAAAATGACAAAAACACATAACTAAATTAAAATGAAAACTGATCATCTAAATCTAAAAGCTAACTTGAAATGTTAAATAATTCTATAAATAAAGCTATAAAAATGTAAATAAAAAGAAATAAAAACGTATTAAATAAAGCTGAAGTTAAATAAAAACTGTTACAAAAAATGTGTTGAAAAAAGAAATGTTGCCTTGCCTTTACCAAAATAAAACAAGTAAATAAAACAACTACTAAAGTTAATAAAACAACTACTAAAACTAAACTTGAAATACAAATAAGTGAAAGTTAAATAGAAATACTAAAAAACTAAATCTGACAAAAATGACAAAAGCACAACTAAATTAAAATGAAAAGTGATCATCTAAATCTAAAAGCTAACTTGAAATGTTAAATAATTCTATAAATAAAGCTATAAAAATGTAAATAAAAAGAAATAAAAATGTATTAAATAAAGCTTAAGTTAAATAAAATATTTAAAAAAAACTGTTACAAAAAATGTGTTGAAAAAAGAAATGTTGCCTTCCCTTTACCAAAATAAAACAAGTAAATAAAACAACTACTATAAAGTTAATAAAACAACTACTAAAACTAAACTTGAAATACAAATAAATGAAAGTTAAATAGAAATACTAAAAAACTAAATCTGACAAAAATGACAAAAGCACAACTAAATTAAAATGAAAAGTGATCATCTAAATCTAAAAGCTAACTTGAAATGTTAAATAATTCTATAAATAAAGCTATAAAAATGTAAATAAAAAGAAATAAAAATGTATTAAATAAAGCTTAAGTTAAATAAAATATTTAAAAAAAACTGTTACAAAAAATGTGTTGAAAAAAGAAATGTTGCCTTCCCTTTACCAAAATAAAACAAGTAAATAAAACAACTACTATAAAGTTAATAAAACAACTACTAAAACTAAACTTGAAATACAAATAAATGAAAGTTAAATAGAAATACTAAAAAACTAAATCTGACAAAAATGACAAAAGCACATAACTAAATTAAAATGAAAAGTGATCATCTAAATCTAAAAGCTAACTTGAAATGTTAAATAATTCTATAAATAAAGCTAAAGTAGAACTATTAAAAATCATTATCGTTATTTAAAAATAAAGCTGACGTAAAATTAAATATGCCATATTCTAGTACTACATGAAGTAGAATTACTAAAACTGAAATAAAAATGTATTAAATAAAGCTAAAGTTAAATCATTTTTTAAAACTGTTACAAAAAATGTGTTGAAAACAGAAATGTTGCCTTGTCTTTCTTAAAATAAAACAAGTTAAAGTACTAGTACTAGTAAAACTAAAATTGAAATACAAATAAATTAAAGCTAAATAAAAGTACTTAAAAATAACAAAAGCACATAACTAAATTAAAATGAAAAATGATCTAAATCTAAAAGCTAACTTGAAATGTTAAATAATTCTATAAATAAAGCTAAAGTCGAACTATTAAAAATCATTATCGTTATTTAAAAATAAAGCTGACGTAAAATAAAATAGGCCATATTCTAGTACTACTTGATGAAGTAGACTTACTAAAACTGAAATTAAAATACATTAAATAAAGCTGAAGTTAAATAAAATATTTAAAAAACTGTCACAAAAAAATGTGTTGTTGAAAAAAGAAATGTTGCCTTTTCTTTCCTAAAATAAAACAAGTTAAAGTACTAGTACTAGTAAAACTAAAAAAGAAATACAAATAAATGAAAGCTAAATAAAAGAACTTAAAAAACTAATAAAAAAAATAAACTAAATTGAAATGGAAACTGAAAATCTAAAAATAAATATAGCTTTATAATACTATAAATAAAACTAAATAGAAATATAAAGAAGTTATTTAAAATAAAATAGTACATGGATAACTGTACCTTAAAAAACTTATAAATTGAACCTTATACAAAAACCTTATATAGAAAATATAAATGTTGCCTTGGCAATGAACTAAAAATAAAATTAATTCAAAATATAGTATGATAGCATCTAATAATAAAATAACACTGGTCTGAAAGTAATTGTGCTTTTACAGATTTAACTAAAATCGATAAACATCCATTCTGTGTCAGATAGAAAAGAAGAATATTCAGTTTGTTTTGGACTGAATGTCGGCTTTTGAGGAAATACACATTTTTGAGCTTCATTTATTCTGAACAATTCTCTCGATCATTAAAAATGAATGAGATTTCAGCATGAGAGGTGGATATTTTCTGTGCTTTGAATAATTAAGAAACAGGGATTTACTACTGTACGTCTATATGAATCTGCTTTCGGTTTTTGAACTTTCGGAGACTTTGAAGCTCATGCAAAGAGAATTTAAATGGAGTTCTATGGAATTCCAGTGACATCATCAAACCAGACAACTAAAACTAATGAGAAATCTGGTTAAAAATGATTTATGTTATTTGAAATCAAGCTGAAATTAAATAAAATATAAATTAAAAAAAATTGGAAACTAACTTACAATTACAGTATTAAATTGACAAAAACTAAAATGGAAATAATTTAATAAAAATGACAAAAACTACTAAAATTATAAAGATTGAAGGCAATTTTAAATATTAAAATATTAATTGAATGTTAAAAAAATTCAACCAAGCATTAAGTTGTTGTTAGAAGTGAAGAAATGAGACCCAGCGTTAGCAGCAGGTGTTAAACGGCACAATCAACACACACAGCAGCCAATGAACCCTACACACACCACAACTCATGCTCACGTCCTGTTAACAACACCTGACAGTACAGTAGAGTACAGTAAACCAGATGTTATGGTGTGGTCTCCATCAGTAGGGCTGCTGAGGTTAAGAAATGGACAAAAATAATCCAATTACAAACACAGACACACTTAACAGCCAAAAGACCTACGAAAAATGTCAAGTTAAGTGATTAAATATTAATAGTCAAAATGGTAACGCCATCCAAAAAGCCACATTTGAGTTTGATATACAGTGTCACTTAAGTCACTTTAAGAAGTGTGCAAATACTTTTAGTCTTCATTTAAAATACTATCTTTTATAGTTTTATACAGTCTGCGAGCTAAGAGGACACTGTTGTAGCTCCGCCCCCTGTGCTGGGAGCAGTAGCTCATTTGCATTTAAAGGGACAGACACTAAAACGGTGCGTTTTTGCTAACCCTCAAAAAGTGACAACTTTAACTTGCTATATAAACTATCTGTGGGGTATTTTGAGCTAAAACTTCACACACACACACACTCAGGGGTCATCAAAAATGTATTTTACATCTTGTGAAAAGGGCATTACACCACCCCTTTAAAACATGTGTCACTTTTGCTTGTGTTAACGTTCTTTGAAATGATTATTATTTTTGAGCCACTGCATATCAGCCAAAGTTTCTTGTGTTTTGGCTTATGAAATTCCACCTCACGTTTTGGGATGATCATCAAACTCTGATAGCTTTTTGGATGACTGGTTATTCAGTTAATATCAGACGATGGGCATGCTCACACCTACATGAGGACTAAAAAAGTGTGACCACAACGAAGCACGTACAATATTTCAATAATGCCTATAGCGGTGATAACAGTGTCTAGAAACTGCGTGGCATGCGGTGAGAGAAATCCCATTAAAATCAGTGAGACTAGTGAGGTCACTGTGAGGTCAAAGGTCGAGTAGGATCGGTGGCACTTACTGCACGGCGAGCACAAGCTGCGTTACAGTCCCCAGGGTGCAGTTAGTAAGACAGTGTGGTTCTGGAGGCAACCCGGAAAAACAGGAGTAAACACACTTGTCAAAATAACACAAGCACATCAGACTCTGGTTAGCACTACATCGCTCATCCGGCCGGTACAACCTGGAAAAGCAGCCTCGCTGTCCTTTACAGTTTAACATCACAACACTATATCGTAGCATATCTCGGAGATTAAAACCTGTCCAGGTCATATTTCTCCTCCAAATGTAATAATTATAATTTAATCAATTAAAATCAATAATATAATATAATATAATATAATAATGTAATGCATATATAAACAATTTAAATAAATAATATAAATATTAGTTTGTATTGCTATCAATAATGTCACAGTGCAATATATATATATATATATATGAAGAGTTCAGATGCAAAAGCCTCTAAATGCCATTTGAAATGTTCTTCTAAAATGACCATTTTTATCAAACTTGTATATTTAAGTTCAGTAATTTCAATTAAATGACAATTAATAGGTAATTTTTATTGCCATTTAAGTGAAATTACTGAACTTAAATATACAAGCTTGATAAAAAATGATCATTTTAGAAGAAAATTTCAATTGGCACTTAGAGGCTTTTGCATCTGAACTCTTCATATATATATATATACTGTATATATGTATGATACTTAAAGATATATGACTATATATATAGATATATGAGTATGAGTATATGCCATTTGTTGTGAAATATTGGGGTTGTATAATTTGGGGTGAAATGTGATCTGGACACGTCTTTGTGATTCTTTTCACCCTTATATACAGTAACTCTGTGAAATATAGTTTTACTTGTGCATTGAAAAAAAAAATGCTTTATCTAATCAATAAAATTGTGGCAACATATTACAAGCAATATTATTAATTAAATTGTACAAATTAAAATTAATTAGAATATTAATTTGATTAACTATTACTCAATTCTAATTTGTTCAATTTAATAAATAATATTGCTTGTAATCTGTTGCCACAATTTTATTGATTAGATAAAGCATATTCATTTTTACAGTGTGAAAACTCCTAATCTACCATCGCTTCAATTTAAAATGAATAGAGATGATGGACAGGCAAAATATGACTAAAGTTCTGATGTAATGCATGTATTAATGCCCAGTAATATCCATGACGTTTAAAACACAAATCCCAGATGCATACACTGCTCACGACACAAACAACCATCTTTGATAATAAAATCTTTGTAAATGTGTCTTTGGCATTAACAGGGCATCATGGGTTTGTGCGCTGACGCTGCTCTCTGTGGACATGTGAGGGATTAATCTTCGTAATGGATAGAGTTTGGCAGGCATCAAAAACTGGATACAACTTTATTACAGTGAATTAGAACATCCTGTATCCAAAGAAATTATGTAATCTAGTTTCACAGCATAATAAAAAAACAATAAGCAGCATGTGACTATGCTACTGTTAGTATTGCAGAAAAGCAGCACGCTAAAGCTTGCATTCAGGCAGCATTTGGAAGCTGGGAATGATCATTTTTGATACTTTCATATAACATAATTTTGTATCTTGAATCCGCATTGTCCAAAGACCAAAACCTTCAACAAGCAGTCAAATTTATACCGTAATATATACAATGACTAAAAGCCTATGTACCCGCAGGAAAGAACAATATCACAAATTAGATCATCTCATTTGCTATGGTCTCCTGCATCTAAGACGTGTTTCCTGAGAAAAAGACCCCAGTAATTTCACACGTCTGTCCTGTAGGGTTTCAGAAGAGATCTCAACAATGTCTCAAACTGTGCTCAGATTTGCCAAGACACTAACATCTGAAACCAAAAGTCAGTATCCTCAAACATTTTGATGAAAAAAACAGGAATGTTGCTAAAGGCGAGACACCCCAGGTCAAAAACAGCTATCACCATACTTCACCAGGTGAATGATTACATTAATAATTGCACAAAAAAAACCTAATGAGGCATTATCTAATTAAATGTGCACTAATTTGCATACATTTCAAGAACAAAAACCTGAACATTATATAAAGCCAGGTTCAAAATTATTGTTTAATTTTTATATATATATATATATATTAGAATATAAAAAAATACTGTTTATTCCTGTTTAGGAATAATTATATATGAACATATATGAACAAACCTCAGACTATTGATAAGAATAAATTACACATACGATGTTTGTCAATTTAAAAGATAATTCTGAAAGTCAAAAACGTCGCAGTTTGTCATACAACAGAAGAGTAACATTTAGTTTTATTTGAAAATCGCTCTATGAACTACATCTCCCAGGAAGCGAAACAAGATCCGCTGCTCGTGTGTGTGCAGTCTGGTACAAAACACTCAGGTAGGACGGCGTAACGTTACGATTATAACGTAAGACTGTAGAAAAAATGACAGACAGCCTCAGTAAAGTTAGCTTCATTCATTAGGAGAAAATGTGCGCCTTTGGGGTTTGTAGTCTTATACCTCAACAGTTTTACATCAAACTGCGACTTTCTTGACTTTAAAATTGACAAACATCATATGTGTAATTCAGGGCACAATTCAAACGAGATCAAAATATTTGTTGTCTCTCGCCATTGACTACCGTTCAATATTTTTCCGAAATAAGGTCCCATGGTGGTCGACCGGAAGGGGAGGGTCTTAGGCTCTCTATTTGCAGTTATGGTAAGGGGCGGGACATTTACGATTGGCGTGGCTTAGCCATAGGTCAATTGAAATCTACAGATGCAAATAGATAAAGAGCTCTAAAAGATACAGTTAAAAGTGTATTTTGGATGTTTTCTTTCCACTAGTCAACTGATGCATGAAAAAACACTGTTTTGCCTGTAGTATCTCGCCTTACAAAATAAATATGGACAATTTTTGATTTCATGTTGACTTTATGTCTCCTGAGCTGAATGAAAAAACCTCTCAGTTACCTCAAGACATCCAGGTTTCTCCGCGTCTCCGGTTCTGTTGGGAGCCGCTGCGGATGAAGCGGAAAGCCTCCTCTCCTCTCTGAAGCTCTGCTCCAGTAGTTTCTTGTTCAGGATCCGCGCAGCGTTCTCCGCTAGCGTGTATCCCGGGGGAGCGGACAGGTCCTGTCTGATGCTAATCCCCTCTGGGGTTTTCTCGCCCTGCGTCTCCACAATGAGCTGAACAGGGCTTGGGGACCGGCCCCGAGAGTTTCTTAAAGGCCCCTGCGCGGCACAAACACCGGGAGATTTGGGATCCGTTGGCCCTGCTTCAGTGGGACGAGAGCGGCTGGGGGACTTGTTGAACTTGGTGTCGTAGGCGACGGGCGTGTGGTCGATGATGTTGAAGAGGCTGGAGAGGCCGTCGTTGATGGTGGTGTGAACGGGACTGTCTCTAGTCGTCGTGGAACGAGCCCAAGCGGATTCGCTGTTGCCTTTTTGCTGCTGGGAAGTGGTCGTTGGAGTGGGAGCGCGAGTCTGGCCGACCGGTTGCTCTGCTTTGCCAGCGTTTGAGGGTTTCCTTTGGAGCTTGGGTGAGCCGTATTTCGGAGAGCAACACGGGCGTTCGAACTTAGCCTGTACGACTGGCGAGTACTGCATTTTCCTAAGGCTCCTAGAAGGCGATGAGATGGGAGTAGAGCCTCCTTTAGGCGTTAGACACCGGTGAGGGCTGCTTGTGATGGCGCGAAGAGCCTCCGTTTGCAGTCCCACACTGATGGTCTGGGTGGTTTGCGTCCAACGCGTGGTGAAACCATTCGTCTGGCACGCCATGTCCCGGAGCTGCCTTTCCGGAGGGCTGGATCCGGACGCAGATGATCGCATAGCAAACGCCTTTTCCTTCATGTCGTCACTCAGATTGCGAGACAGCTCCAGCTCTAATGATGAGGTAAATCCAACCGCAGGGCAAATCAATGGACTTTCTACAGGTCTTGCCTCCAAATGACTCCTAATCTCACATGGCCACGTTCCTCCAAACACCTCTTCTGCACCTCCTTGAGTCACCTTGGAGAACACGTACTCCTGTTCGGAGGTGCTTGGGGCTGATCGCTCTCCTCGAGCGGGACTGTGGAGGATGTGCACCCCAAACTGGTCTCCCCCCTGGGTCACTCTGAGCGGGAGCATTTGGCAGTACTCAGGGCTACTTATGGTGTTGGTGGTCAAGGTGGCGCTGGTGGTCAGGAACCAGGAGGCTGGCTGGAATGCTTCTGAAGTCGACTCGGCCCTTCGGGATTCGACCCACGCCTCCATCCCCGGAGAGGGCATTACTGGGCCAGGGATGGGACAAGAGGCCAGGGAGCTGGTGGGCAGATCCCAACCCTTACTATTAAACTCCTCAATGTATTTGAGGTCATCCGGTGAAAGGGGAGGGGTCACATCGTCCCGCATGTGTTCGCCATGCTTGCTCTTATCTGGTAGGAAGGGGGAGCTGTCCATTAAACGCTGGAAGTCGCTCATGGAGCAAACTGACTTCGCCCTACGGAAAGTTACAATGCTGTTATTAAACATTATACCTGACACTTTCACGAAGCTTAAAACAATGCTTTATGGGATTGATGCAATGCTCAAACAAAGTATATTATGCCGCTGCCAACCTTTTGGAATTGTCTTTGGGTCAGGAGGGGTAAATGTCAATGTTTGCAGGGTTGACCCTATGTTCCTCTAACCCTTTATCATATGTGACCCTGGATCACAAAACCAGCCACAAGTCACATGGGTATATTTGTGGCAATAGCTAACAATACACTATATGGGTCAAAATTATTGATTTTTCGTTGATGCCAAAATCATTAGGATATTAAGTAAAGATCATGTTCCATGAAGATTTATTTTGTAAATTTCTAACTGTAAATATATAAAACGTTTATTTTTGAGAGTGAATGATGCACAATCGCGAACATAAATAGCCAACTTTTCACAAATGCTCGCCTTGCTCTGTTCTGTGATGCGCATTTGTGACTCTCCTGTTCAAAATGAACGAATCTTTTGTCGAGTCATTAGGTTCATTCAACGAACAAAATGAATGAAATGACTCGAAAAAAGATTCGTTCATTTTGATGAACGAGTTCGAACAGGAGAGTCACACAGAACAGAGCAAGGCGAGCATTTGAGCTTATAAAACTTAAACTTTTTTATTTATTTTTTAAATGAGCGATCGTTTCGCTAGATAAGACCCTTATTCATCGTATAGTGTCGTTTAAAGCCCTTTCAGCTGCACTGAAACTCTCATTTAGACCTTGAACCGTTTGGACCCCATTGACGTCCATTATATGGAGAAAATCCTGGAATCCTTTTCATCAAAAACCTTAATTTCTTTTCGACTGAAGAAAGAAAGACATGGACATCTTGGATGACATGGGGGCGAGTAAATTATCAACAAACGTTTTTTTTTTTTTTTTAAAGTGAACTACTCCTTTAAGGAATAAATGGAAAGTAAAGTTATATTTGCCACATGTGCATCAAAAACCACAATGTGATCCGAACCGTGGATTTTGTGATCCGTTTAACCACTATTAAGGAGCATTTTGATGATACCTCTCGGTAGACAGCATGCCGGGTTTAACGTGCCAGCCCCAAAGGAGGAGTATCATTATTATAACAAAACCTTAATGAAGTTATCTTTCTATATTGCTGGAAGTTTAATCTTCAGCCTCCTGAGATTAAACTGTTACTTTCCATTTGTAATTCTCCTGAGAGGTTGCCAAAACACCAGCAACATCACAGTCTAAACATAGACGCTAACTGACACTCAAACAAGGGCAAAGCGAGATCGATTTATCAGTTTCAAAGTTGGACAGTCAGGAAAAGACACTGAAGCTTATTTGCAGTAAACGAAACAACACTGAGACCTTTGAAAAGGACAATGATAAATGGGCATTGGATCAATAACTGGACTCGCACATAAACACACACACACATTCGTATTTATATATTTCTGAGACTTTGTATTCACACAACGCATAAATTAAGCAAACAAAGAGTGTACCTGAGTAGGCTGCCACTGCTCTTCTCTTCCTCAGGGTAAATGGCCGAATCCCCACTCTCAGAAATCTCATTCAGTGCCTAAAACGACAACACAGTTAAAACATTAACAGAGTTTTTTCATGAAATGATGGGGGGACTGTAAGAAATACTTCCAGGTTAGATCAGTGTATTATATGACATGACAGATATGAAAACCTTTTCACAATATTCTAATTTTGAATTTGGGGTTTTCATAGCTGTAAGCCATAATCATCAAATATTATATACATTATAACAAATAAAGGCTTGAAATATCTCACATTGCATGTAATGAGTCTATCTAATATATTAGTTTCACCTTTTAAATTGAAACTTTTGCATGATATTCTAATTTTTCAAGTTTCCCCTGTATACCATACAAGATAACTACAAAAAAAGTGCATGGCAAAAAAGTGCTGACATTATAAGCAGACCTTAAAAAAAAAATGCATGATATGAAATGTGCCTCATCATGCAGTGTGAACTGAATTCTCTTACTTCGTTCAGATGGGAGAACCTCTTTTCGCTGTCCAGACGTGATGGAGGCGGCACCTCGGCCTCGCTCAGGGGGTCCAGCGAGAGGGCGTCCAGGAACAGGCTCTCCGGGGGCCGGTGTCCCTCACAGGGTCTGGATCTGCCAGCCGCCCCCTTCTCCTCCAGAATGGCCTCTGAGTCCGAGTGTGAGCGCATGTGTGCAGCGGCGCAGGGTGAGCGTGGAGACCGAGGAGCCTTACACGGGCTCTCCTGAGGGGAGAAGACATGTGGTGCTGCTCCTTCTGCTGACTGAACAATATCTCTCTGCATCTGGGGTGGAGGAGAGGAGATATCGACTCTGTGTCAAGGCCTAGTGAGATGCCTTGCGGCCAGTGTTGTAGTCGAGACCACCTCACTCGAGTCCGAGTCGACACCGAGACTAGAGAGAGTCGAGTCCGAGTCAAGACCGAGTCCAAAGAGAGTCGAGTCCGAGACCAGAGACGGTCGAGTCCGAGTCGAGACCGAGACCAGAGAGAGTCGAGTCCGAGTCAAGACCGAGTCCAAAGAGAGTCGAGTCCGAGACCAGAGACGGTCGAGTCCGAGTCGAGACCGAGACCAGAGAGAGTCGAGTCCGAGTCAAGACCGAGTCCAAAGAGAGTCGAGTCCGAGACCAGAGACGGTCGAGTCCGAGTCAAGACCGAGTCCAAAGAGAGTCGAGTCCGAGTCGAGACCGAGACCAGAGAGAGTCGAGTCCGAGTCGAGACCGAGACCAGAGAGAGTCGAGTCTGAGTCGAGACCGAGACCAGAGAGAGTCGAGTCCGAGTCAAGACCGAGTCCAAAGAGAGTCGAGTCCGAGTCAAGACCGAGACCAGAGAGAGTCGAGTCCGAGTCGAGACCGAGACCAGAGAGAGTCGAGTCCGAGACTAGAGACGGTCGAGTCCGAGTCAAGACCAAGACCAGAAAGAGTCGAGTCCAAGTCGAGACCGAGACCAGAGAGAGTCGAGTCCGAGTCGAGACCGAGACCAGAGAGAGTCGAGTCCGAGTCGAGACCGAGACCAGAGAGAGTCGAGTCCGAGTCGAGTCCGAGACCAGAGAGAGTCGAGTCCGAGACCAGAGACGGTCAAGTCCGAGTCGAGACCGAGTCCATAGAGAGTCGAGTCCGAGACCAGAGACGGTCAAGTCCGAGTCGAGACCGAGTCCAAAGAGAGTCGAGTCCGAGTCAAGACCGAGTCCAAAGAGAGTCGAGTCCGAGTCGAGTCCGAGACCAGAGACGGTCGAGTCCGAGTCGAGACCGAGACCAGAGACGGTCAAGTCCGAGTCGAGACCGAGTCCATAGAGAGTCGAGTCCGAGACCAGAGACGGTCGAGTCCGAGTCGAGTCCGAGACCAGAGACGGTCAAGTCCGAGTCGAGACCGAGTCCATAGAGAGTCGAGTCCGAGACCAGAGACGGTCAAGTCCGAGTCGAGACCGAGTCCATAGAGAGTCGAGTCCGAGACCAGAGACGGTCAAGTCCGAGTCGAGACCGAGTCCATAGAGAGTCGAGTCCGAGACCAGAGACGGTCAAGTCCGAGTCGAGACCGAGTCCATAGAGAGTCGAGTCCGAGACCAGAGACGGTCAAGTCCGAGTCGAGACCGAGTCCAAAGAGAGTCGAGTCCGAGTCAAGACCGAGTCCAAAGAGAGTCGAGTCCGAGTCGAGTCCGAGACCAGAGACGGTCGAGTCCGAGTCGAGACCGAGACCAGAGACGGTCAAGTCCGAGTCGAGACCGAGTCCATAGAGAGTCGAGTCCGAGACCAGAGACGGTCGAGTCCGAGTCGAGTCCGAGACCAGAGACGGTCAAGTCCGAGTCAAGACCGAGTCCAAAGAGAGTCGAGTCCGAGTCAAGACCGAGTCCAAAGAGAGTCGAGTCCGAGTCGAGTCCGAGACCAGAGACGGTCGAGTCCGAGTCGAGACCGAGACCAGAGAGAGTCGAGTCCGAGTCGAGACCGAGACCAGAGAGAGTCGAGTCCGAGTCGAGACCGAGACCAGAGAGAGTCGAGTCCGAGTCGAGACCGAGACCAGAGAGAGTCGAGTCCGAGTAAAAAGAGAGTCGAGTCCGAGTCGAGTCCGAGACCAGAGACGGTCGAGTCCGAGTCGAGACCGAGACCAAAGAGAGTCGAGTCCGAGTCAAGACCGAGACCAGTGAGGGTTGATTACCTAATTTACTTTTAGTTACTTAGAGAAACCCTTTTTTTTTTTTACTGAATTTACTTAGAGTTTAACAAATATGATCAGTTTAGGGTAAAAAGGGCACATAGTAGGTGGTGTTAAAAGTAATTTTATTACAATTTGTAATGCACAGTTGCACACTAGAAAATCACCAATCACTGGGTGTGTCAATCAATTTAAAGAAATATTTTATTAACATACATTAATAATCATGAAAAATATTTTTAAATGAACTCGAGTGGACTCGGGAATAATTCCGAGTCCTAAAAAAAAAATTGTTAGAGTACGAGTCAATTCCGAGTCTAAATGGACACGAGTCCATGACAAGACCAAGACCATTAAAATATGAGTCGAGTCCGAGACGAGTCCGAGTCTCGAGTACTGCAACACTGCTTGCGGCCTACTGTCTAGCAAACATCTTCACAAACATTCTAGTCAGCCATCTTTTTTTGCAAGCTAAGCTAGCAGGCTCTTGTTATGTGGAGAAAGCTGAGTAGTAGGGGTTACCATCCTCTTTTTCCAGCTGTCGATGTCCGGGATTTAGCTTTTGCTTTCTGCAGTCGCCGTTCATTGTTTACATGCACAGCTTTTGTTTCAATCTAACTGAATTCATTCCTATTGGTGAATCTGAATGTAGTGTTTACGTGAATGCTATACAAGTGATCGGTTGATGTGCGCCAGAGCCCGTCTAACGGAGAGCCTTGACACTTCCTATTAGCCCCATTGTGTATCATCTTGGTTGCAGTTCCATTAGAATTCCACTGGAGGTGATCGCGGGTGAGAGCAGAATGAATGGGAGTCTATGGGGCTAAACGGCTAAATGTGTCTCTTTCACCTGCTTGTCGTTAAATTAACAGATTTTATTGTTGATTCCGCAAGTTCAATATAGATTATAGGCCAAAAGTCGAATGAACGAGTACTTATGTCCTTTTGATTTCTTACAGGTTAGGCCGTTGTTGGCCAGAACAGGCTAGCATTCTGCTATTGTGTGATGTCATCACGGTTTTGAACGTTTTTTTAGAATAGATAAGTGAACTTAAAAATGCAATTTTCAACTGAGTGTATTATCTTAGCCCTCCCTTTTAAATGGAACTTTCAAATTACTTGACAAAAACTTACATCCTGAGAAAAGTTGATTTCTGGGGGTGAAACCCCATTGACTCTCATTCATTCTGCACTCGACCGCGAGCGCCCCCGCATGGACAGAGACGCGTTACTGCAGCCAGTCCAGAAACTGGAAGTAACCAGCCAGTGCCAATTCTCTTCAATTGGACATTCTCTGGCAACGCTAAGAAAATTCCCGCTCCTCCGTGAGAGATACGAGACCGGTGCGTCTCACAGGTGTCGCTCATCGGTAATCACGCCACCGCCCTCGCGCCGTTCTCCCGCAGCCCTCACTCGTCCCGCTCGCCACAGTAAACATGATGAATGGCGACTGTAGAACGCAAAAGCCGAATCCCCGTATATTTTGGGCGATCTCGAAATATATTTTCTCACTAGTAGCCTAGACTTGTTGTTTAGCTACTGCGCTCTGTTACCGGTAGGCGTGGCCTCCTAAGGCAGCGAAGCAAGTGCATTCTGGGAGTTGTTGTCTTTCATCAACATCAGCCAAAAATACATTTCTGGCTTTTCTCAGTCTAGAAAGCTCCAAATTCAAAAATAATTTCACATTTCTACTTCATAAATAACCCATTTTAAATACACATTCATCTTTCCAGAGGCGACTTTCCCCTTTTTAAGGTATTGAAACATATTAGCAAAACAAGTAGGATAACACACCCCATACCTTTTCCATCTTGTGGTGCATATCCCGTAACCTGCGGTCCCATTCCTGCCTCTCTTTCTCGAAGCGCTCCAGTAAGTCATTCCTCTCGCGCGTCCAGCGCTTTTCTCCATGCTGCAGTTTCCAGTGCAGCTCCAGTGCCGTGCTGTGACTGTCTGCCAGTAGACGGCGCTGTTCCTCCCGTTCCTGTTGAGCCACGTCTGCAACGCCTGCATCTTCATCTTCATCTTCATCTGAGCCTGCAGACTCACCTCTGACCTGCATGCACAACAGCAGAGACATGAAGAAGAACACCAATGCACATAGGCTGGGTTGTTTTAACCCAATTTTGGGTCAAATATGGACAAACCAAAATATTGGGTTAAAATTTAATTAAAAAATGTAACCCAACAGATGGGTTTGTCCATATTTGACCCAAAGTTGAAAAAAAAACAGCGTGTACAGTGTGACAAATTAACCGTGATTACAGTCGTGTTTTGTAACATCTAGCCTTTTTGTTGACTCATTATTTATTCAGACAGACTAAATATGATAACAGGATACCACTTGCTGAATTAAACATGCAACATATTGACATCATATGACAACAATGTAACAAAAAGTATGCAGTTTATAGTCTTAGTAGTATTAAAAACCCAGTTATGCACAGACTGGCCTATATATATTTAGCTAGGAAGAGAGAGTCATGTTTAAGTTTGCCAGATCGCCTATGATTGGTGCAGTAAAGTCCAAACACACCTCCCTCACGTCAAGACAGATGTTCCTCAATCTATCCGCTGTCTGAATGACATCTGCTTCCTTTTAATAGGCCATGAGTGTGTTTGACGGCCGAAGTGCACTAAATATAGCTGGCTATTTCAAGACGCTCCCTAACCTCCACGACACCGAAACAGCCACTGTAAGCAAGTCACTGTGAGCAGAAAGCAACGCATGGCACTGCAAGATCTTAACGTCTCAGCAGAAGATTTAAGTCTGGTTAAGATATAAAGAGATTAAGTTTAATGACAAGACCAGAGTTTAGAAGTTTTTCGAATTTTACATTTGTCATCTTAGACTTTGATAAAAATGAAAGTTGAAAGGCTGAAAAGTGCTATGTTCAAAAGTTTGGCATTGGTAAGATTTTATGTTTTTGAAATAAGTCTCTTACGCTCACCAATGCTGCATTTATTTGATAAAAAATACAGTTAAACAGTAATATTGTGAAATTTAAAAGAACAGTTTTTCTATTTGAATCTATTTTATTCAAATATGTATTAATGTAATTTGTTGAAGATGCTAACTAAGCTGAATTTGCAGCATCATTCATCATTCCAATCTTCAGTGTCACATGATCCTTCAGAAATCATTGTAATATGCAGATTTGCTGCTCAAGAAACATTTCTTATAATTAGTATTATCAACAAATATAACTTTTGATCAATTGGAAGTTTTACATATGTATTTTTGATCAATTATGCATACAGAGTTCAGATGCAAAAGCCTCTAAGTGCCATTTGAAATTTTCTTCTAGAATGATCATTTTTATCAAGCTTGTATGTTTAAGTTCAGTAATTTCACTTAAATTGCAATGAAGATAACCTATTAATTGTCATTTAAGTGAAATTACTGAACTTGAATATATACGCTTGATAAGGAACCTCACCCCCATAACTATCAGAATTATAAACACGTATAGTTCATTTAAAATTCAGTTAAGAAAATGGCTTATTGATCATCAGATCTGCCAACATTAGCCTATTTCTACACATGCTCTCGTTGCACACTGTTGACTTTTTTCCTTATGTGTTGTCATGTTTTTTACGTGATGTTTGTCCGATTGTTGTTTTGATGTGTTTAGAGTATATATGCTAACATAATAGATATTTTACTAAATGTATTTTAATTTTTATTTAGTGCTATGAACTATGTAATTTCTTTTCTTTTTTTAGGGTGACTTTTACCAACTGTCTAGGGACTGCGGATGAAAAATAGCCTTTAGGCTAATTCTGGCATATTGACAGAAATGTTTATGAATATGCACTGTCCCTGTTCTAAATACATAAATAAATAAAAAATAAATAAAAATGATCATTCTAGAAGAAAATTTCAAATGGCACTTAGAGGCTTTTGCATCTGAACTCTTCATATATATACCCAGACAGCAAACTGACATTGAATCAACGTGGAAACGACGTCTCTCATGACATCGAAACAACGTTGATCTGGCATTGTTTTGCTCATCGAATTAACGTTGAACCAACGTCATTCTTCAAAGCTAAATGAAAATCGAAAATTGGTTTGCTTTCATAACGTTGATTTCAAGTTGATTTTCCGTCAGTTTTGAAAGAATGACGCGTCTGACGTTGGTTCAACGTTAATTGAGCAAAACAATGTCAGATCAACGTCATGTTTCCACGTTGATTCAATGTCAGTTTGCTATCTGGGTAAAGTCCCAAAAAGTCGGCGTGTTCCTTTAATGAAGTTGATAAAGTCTGACGCATAAGAGGAAGACGAAGCTTTCTGAGGTTTCATGCCTGAGCCCAGATCATGCAGATGTGCTGTACAGTCGTTCACGGGTGATTCTGCGGTGATGTAAGTGTTGTTTCTGCACCTTGGTGACGTGACTCCTCATCTCAGCGCGCTGTATCTCCCACGCCGCTCTCTCATTGGCCAGTGTCTGCTGCATCTGCCAGCGCCGCTGCGCCTCCTCCCGAAGCTCCGCCCTGAACTCCTCCAGGAGAGAGCGAAGAGCGTGTAGCACACGGAGACTCTCACCTGCCTGGAGATACACACAGATAAACACAGAGGACTGTAATGATGCTGTTACAGCATGAAAAAGATCCAACGGAAGATCTTTCTGAACTCCCTGAAACTCCTCTTCCGGGAACGAACACGTCACAATATTCCTCATTTAAATAATTCCTGCCCAAGGCAAACGCTAACTAAAAGGGCGGGGCCTGGTTGAGTTAGTTAGTAGTGTGTTGAAACAGAGAGCCTAAGTCCCGCCCCTCCGCTTCCGGCTCATGGGACCTTATTTCGGAAAAAATATGAATGGTAGTCAATGTTAGAGACAACTTATGTTTTTATTCCGTCTGAACTGTGCCCTCAATTACATGTATGATGTTTGTCAATTTAAAAAGTAATTCTGAAAGTCAAAAACGTCGCAGTTTGTCATACAACAAAAGAGTAACATTTAGTTTTATTTGAAAAGCGCTCTATGAACTACATCTCCCAGGAAGCGAAACGAGATCCGCTGCTCGTGTGTGTGCAGTCTGGTACAAAACACTCAGGTAGGACGGCGTAACGTTACGATTATAACGTAAGACTGTAAAACAATGACAGACAGCCTCAGTAAAGTTAGCTTCATTCATTGAGAGAAAATGTGCGCCTTTGGGGTTTGTAGTCTTTGTAATGACGTATTTTCACAGTCTTATACCTCAACGGTTTCACATCAAACTGCGACTTTCTTGATTTTTAAATTGACAAACATCATATGTGTAATTCAGGGCTCAATTCTAACGAGATCAAAATATTTGTTGTCTCTCGCCATTGACTACCATTCAATATTTTCCCGAAATAAGGTCCCATGGTGGTCGACCGGAAGGGGAGGGACTTAGGCTCTCTATTTGCAGTTATGGTAAGGGGCGGGACATTTACGATTGACCAATCACAACACACTGGTCCAGCCGGCCAATCAGAGCACAGTGTGCTTTTCAGAAGGAGGGGCTTCATAGAAACAGGAACTAAACAGTAGTAGTGGGAAGTTCGGATAATTTCACAGACTCGGATCTTTTAATCTCGTTCATCAAAATGATGAACAAATCTTTTTTCGAGTCATTTTAAATATCATGGTGTCAATGCAGGTTGATCTATAATGTTGTTGAATATTAAATGTCCACAACTAAGCGAGCCAAAAGCCAAAGGCGACAAAGGTAAAGTTCTTCTGAGACAAAGTTCTTAAGTATGAAGTTTGCAGTTTTTGTGGCACAAAACAGAAATGCAAAACTATTTTCAGATTCACCATTGATTGAAATAATGTTATCCATCCAAACACACTGCATTTGAATTTAGTCAAGCGCAAGAAATGTCCTATGAGTGACAGACAGTTCAATAAACCGGTCTTGTACTAAGAAACACGTCTGTGTTGTCATTTGTATGTAAGCTTGGTCAGCACAGCACCGATGGAGCCAATTGCATTTCTGTCATAAGTGTGTGTTCAGCAGAAATGGACATTCAGTTAAAACCATGTGCACACCGAGAAATACATAAGCAAAATGATCTATAGGGAAAAAAGCCACATAAACGTCTAAACAAGACGATGTGACGGCTTTTAATGATTTGTAAAACTAAAGTGTTTTACAAACTCCTGCACTTAGAGAGGTTAAATAATAGACTAGAGCTGAGAGAAGGTTTACTGCTTAAAACCTGCTACTGAAACATTAACACTGCTTTAAAGCTACACTGTGTAACTCTTTTAGTTTATTCTTAGCTAAAAACACTTAGTTTTTTCAAAAATATATGCGCTCATTAATGTATATTTACTTCGTTCAAGTAATAAAGTATTCTTGTGAGTGTATAATATGCCATTGAAAACACATACGGGTAAGCGGTTCGCCATGTTGCCCCTCCATCGTGAAAGTACGTTAGCCAAAGAGGGACATACCCGTTAATTCAAGCTTCGCCTTTCGCGTTTACGTTTGAGTTAACACTCATGGATGAGGTCGAACTGGAAGCCATGTTAATCTTGGACTACATTGGCCACCGTAGGAGTTAAAATGAAATCGGAATTGCGAGGAACAGAAACTAATATTCACTGGATGGTCATATACCTTTTCACCACTAGATGGGGGTAAAAATCACACAGTGTAGCTTTAATATTTACTCCAGAAAACAAAGACGAGAGATTTTAAGGTCACTACACACAACTTTTTATAGGTTGTTCAATAAATAAAGGGGAGAATATGATTCGCAAGAACCACCATGTCAAAACACTGAAGATTATTAAAGCTTTTCTCATGTTACTACATGTTTAAAGGGATAGTACACCCAAAAAATTCCGAATATATCAAACGCTTTGACTTCCATCATATTTTTTTCCTACTATGGAAGTCAATGGCATCCATCAACTGTTTGGTTCCCCACAATCTTCAACATATCATCTTTTGTGTTCAGCAGAAGAGAGAAATTCATTCAGGTTGAGTAACTGATTTTTTAGTGCGCTATCCCTTTAAGATGAATCCCTTGTATTATTTTTCCACATATTTGACAGGCATGTGACCTGTTTCTGGTGCTGGAATCTCTCGGGAGACAGCAGGAGAGGGCCGGGCTCTGTGAGGTCACTTCCTGTGATTTTGTCTCCCCTTCCCATCTCTCCATCACCCTGGTCGATCGTAATGGCCAGTTCTGGAATGTTCTCCAATCGTTCGTACTGAAGAAACAAGTAAGAGAGAAACCACAGAAAATGTTTACAGTTAAAGTTTAATCAAAATTAAATACAAATATAATAAGTATTTGCCGGGAGCTGGCATAGGGGGCGGAGCTACACAGCTTGTGGCCTTTTACCTCACAGACATCCACTGAAAATGTCAAAAACTTGTCAGAAAATTTCTGAATGGTTAGTTGATGAATTTATGTAGCTTATGTAGTTATCTTTTAGTCATTGATTAGCATATTCTGTCATGATAATCTATAAATAGCATTCCTGGGGGTGTGGTTTATGTAAATTCTACAGTTGGTGATGTCACCAACCCAGGAGGAAGCTTTGTAGTCCCTATCAGCCGTTTGTTGTAGTCCTTAAAAAGCGATTTCTTTAAAAGCAAATATCATCCTTTGCTTTGAACTTTAAGCGTTGTAACTTTGCAGATGTTGTTTATGCTCAAACAGCAACATTACGCACTAACTAAAGTTAGAAAAGTGAAATTATAAATCAACCACGCCTTTAATTATATCTGAGCTCATTTAATTCAGGGTTAACTAGGGCAGTTATTCTGGATCACCTCAGCGTGTGCACCTTCATCCACCCCGTCTGTCCTGCGCCCGAGCCTCCAGTGCATGAGGATCCAGCGCAGCTTCATGTACACGATCACTATATTGTGGCGGAACAATCTGACTTCCTGTTGCAGCTGCACTCTTTCCTGCGGCCATGTTGGCTCGTGGGATTGAAGTCCCTGCAGTTCGAGTCCTCGCCGTGCCTCTGCGCGCCTCCTCTCCTCCTCCTGCGCAAGAACAAACATTCAGAATAGACAAGAGTGATGGTAAATAAAATGATTATTAACATGACTTAAGATTAATGAGAGAGTAATGAGATGGCAAATGATCGTGTGGGTGTTTTAAAGGAGTAGTTCACTTTTAAAAAACTTTTGCTGATAATTTACTCGCCCCCATGTCATCCAAGATGTCCATGTCTTTCTTTCCTCAGTCGAAAAGAAATTAAGGTTTTTGATGAAAACATTTCAGGATTTTTCTCCATATAATGGAGTTCAATGGGAACCAAACGGTTCAAGGTCCAAATGAGAGTTTCAGTGCAGCTGAAAGGGCTTTAAACGACACCAGATGATGAATAAGGGTCTTATCTAGCGAAACGATCGCTCATTTAATAAATAAAAAAATGTAAGTTTTATAAGCTCAAATGCTCGCCTTGCTCTGTTCTGTGACACACATTCGTGACTCTCCTGTTCGAACTCGTTCATCAAAATGAACAAATCTTTTTTCGAGATATTTCGTTCATTTCGTTCGTTGAATGAACCAAATGACACGAAAAAAGATTCGTTCATTTTTGCACTGCATAGACATATACACTAGACCTCACCTTGGATACGGCAGTTCATTAGATCGAATGCGTCAATAGAGCCGCCATCTTGAAACAGGGGAGCCCCTCCACTTTAATGCATCAGCGTCAATGTAGTAGACACAGGTCTAACGCAAATAAAATCACCAAAAATCATCATGAATGCGATTTTTCTTGGTTTTTTTGGTTTGTTCCAACGGTCAGACATGTATTTATCATTGATTCCAGAAAGAAAAGAAAAAATTAAAAAAAAAAAAAAAAAAAAAAACATTCTTCCTAGTTCAGATTTCATCCGTGAACTTCATACGCTGCACAAAAGTCCGCCACTATCAATGAATTCGAAGTAAAGGCAGAGATAGCAGCCTTACCTAGCTACTTCCTACGACAAGACCCCTGTTCCAAGATGGCGGCGGTTTTGACGCATGCTTAGAACCCCCAGGTGAGGTCTAGTGTATATGTCTATGTTTGCACTGAAAGTGTCTTTTGGACCTTGAACCGTTTGGACCCCATTGAAGTCCATTATATGGAGAAAAATGCTGGAATGTTTTCATCAAAAACCTTAATTTCTTTTCGACTGAAGAAAGAAAGACGTGGACATCTTGGATGACATGGGGGTGAGTAAATTATCAGCAAAAGTTTTTTTTTTTTTTTTTTTTTATGTGAACTACTCCTTTAAGATTTTATTCATTTACATTGCAAGCACCAGTCCAGCACCATGCATATTTTTGCTCTCAATTTAGGCCTTGGATTGATTATGAGCTCCAATATCATCCAATATGAGCCAAAAAAAGCCTCATGCATAAAAAAAACAATATGCAAACTTACTGTTAGATTTAAAAAACAACAACATTTTGTCAAAATTTTCAATAATCTTGCATTATTTTTTTTTTTAGCACTTATTCCATATGTCAGGCTTTACAGGGTTAAGCTGGTATGACCATAGTGGTTAGTATCTCTCCATAATAAACAACTGTTTTCAAATCTGATTTATATGCGAGGAGCCTTTGAATCGATACAGCTCTGATCCTCTTTCTCAAAGTGAACCGCACGTACCTGAGGGATGGATGAAGAGAAGCCGTCTCTCTCCTCCGGTCCAGCCCTCATCCTCCGCTCATGGTCCAGGCGTAGCTGAATCTCTCTGGTAGAGAGTCCCGTCTCAGGCAGAGCCGGCTCACGAAACTGGAGCCCAGCAGAACACACAACACCAAAATCTCAAAATCCCAGCACTTTCCAGAGAGACCACATCCAGTTCATGCAAACAACATCAGTGACATGCATCAAGGGAGAGGTATTTCAGTGTCTTCACTTTCTAGATTATATCACATTGTTACTGTTTCTTAGCTGGTTAGGAAGGAAAATATGAAATTAGCTTTTATGTTTGCAGTATTGATAAATAAAAATATAATAGGACACTATTCTTATTGCAACTATTTCATTATAAACTCCATATCTATGGTGTCAAATGCATAGAAGGCTCATAATTAATTCAGATTAATTTCTACGGTAAAGGTGAAACTCAAGAAAACAAGGTGAAACTAATATATTATATAGAGTCATTACATGCAAAGTGAGATATTTCAAGCTTTTATTTGTTATAATTTTGATGATTATGGCTTAAAACAATTTCACAATATTCTAATTTTGAATTTAGGGTTTCATAAGCCATAATCATCAAATAAAGGCCTGAAATATCTCACTTTGCATGTGATGAGTCTATACTTTCAGCTGTTTTGTTTAGCCTGTCGAGTTCACTTTGAGCAGCGGCGCATAAACTGAAGCTTAGACAACTATATAGACACACAACAAATGAAATGCAAATAAATATTGACCGATGGCATGATTAACACACATCCAGCCGTTGTTTTCATGTTACAAACAGTCACAAATTTGACAGAAACATCAAAGCTCCTGCATGCGTGAGAAGATGGTGTGTGTGTGTGGTTGCGTGTGAGAAGAAACCAAAAGAATTACTGTGAAACAATGGTGTGAATTAAATGATTCAAGTGAACGAACTGCTCTCAGTGTTTCATTTAGTTGCATCAGATAAATCACGGATGTTGTTTTTCGTCTAATAACCTGGTATTAAATAATTGGACGTGGTATTTATGGTATGATAACTGGCTCTCTTCCGCTCAGTTTTATTACATTAAGGATTTATTAAATTAAATAAAGATTTACAAGCTGGGAAGAATTGCTCTTCATTCTGAAATGTCTCATAGTCTTTCCTTCCCTGCACTCTAAACAATGCTGGGTGGTTTCAACCCAAATTTGGGTCAAATATGGACAAACCCAAATGTTGGGTTAAAAATGCAATTAAAAAATGTACAGTTGAAAGTGAAAGTTGAAATTACATTTTTAACCCAACATTTGGGTTTGTCCATATTCTACCCAAATTTGGATTCAAACAACCCAGCATTGTGTAGAGTGTGTCGGTTACAAAACCCTATAACGTCCTCATAAGGGATCTGGCAAACTCTATGGGCATCGAATTAACAACGAAATATTCAAATAAGCAAGCATACATATACCAAATATAGTCCATTTTAATTTGCACTCTAAACAATGCTAAGTTGTTTTAACCCAAATTTGGGTCAAATATGGACAAATGCTGGGTTAAAAATATAATTTTAAATTTTAACCCAACTTCAACTTTCACTTTCAACTGTAAATTTTGGTATTACATTTTTAACCCAACATTTGGGTTTGTCCATATTTGAAACAACCCAGCATTTTTTAGAGTCAGTGTGATATTATATTATTATAAAATATATTTGGAAATCAAATTATTATTTAATACATATTCTATGCATTGTGGGATTGCATTTGCCAATAAAGAAGTTATTTTAGAACGGCACATTTTTTTTAGTTAAGTTTAGGCATAAACACACGGTAGGTTTTGAAACGGATGTAGAGACACACACTCTAAAAATGCTGGGTTGTTTTAACGTAACTTTGGGTCAAATGGACAATTGGGTTAAATGTCATTGTCATTGTTAAATGTTAACATTGGGTTAAAATGTCATTAAAAAAGTAAAAGTTGAAGTTTAAATGACATTTTTAACCCAACATTTGGGTTTGTCCATATTTGAAACAACCCAGCATTTTTTAGAGTCAGTGTGATATTATATTATTATAAAATATAATATTTGGAAATCAAATTATTATTTAATACACATTCTATGCATTGTGGGATTGCATTTACCAATAAAGAAGTTATTTTAGAACGGCACATTTTTTTTTTTAGTTAAGTTTAGGCATAAACACACGGTAGGTTTTGAAACGGATGTAGAGACACACTCTAAAAATGCTGGGTTGTTTTAACCCAACTTTGGGTCAAATGGACAAACCCAAACGTTGGGTTAAAATGTCATTAAAAAAGTAAAAGTTGAAGTTTAAATGACATTTTTAACCCAACATTTGGGTTTGTCCATATTTGAAACCACCCAGCATTTTTCAGAGTCAGTGTGATATTATATTATTATAAAATATAATATTTGGAAATCAAATTATTATTTAATACATATTCTATGCATTGTGGGATTGCATTTGCCAATGAAGAAGTTATTTTAGAACGGCACATTTTTTTTTTTTTTAGTTAAGTTTAGGCATAAACACACGGTAGGTTTTGAAACGGATGTAGAGACACACACTCTAAAAATGCTGGGTTGTTTTAAACCCAACTTTGGGTCAAATGGACAAACCCAAACGTTGGGTTAAAATGTCATTAAAAAAGTAAAAGTTGAAGTTTAAATGACATTTTTAACCCAACATTTGGGTTTGTCCATATTTGAAACCACCCAGCATTTTTCAGAGTCAGTGTGATATTATATTATTATAAAATATAATATTTGGAAATCAAATTATTATTTAATACATATTCTATGCATTGTGGGATTGCATTTGCCAATAAAGAAGTTATTTTAGAACAGCACATTATTTTTAGTTAAGTTTAGGCATAAACACACGGTAGGTTTTGAAACGGATGTAGAGACACACACTCTAAAAATGCTGGGTTGTTTTAACCCAACTTTGGGTCAAATGGACAAACCCAAACGTTGGGTTAAAATGTCATTAAAAAAGTAAAAGTTGAAGTTTAAATGACATTTTTAACCCAACATTTGGGTTTGTCCATATTTGAAACCACCCAGCATTTTTCAGAGTCAGTGTGATATTATATTATTATAAAATATAATATTTGGAAATCAAATTATTATTTAATACATATTCTATGCATTGTGGGATTGCATTTACCAATAAAGAAGTTATTTTAGAACGGCACATTTTTTTTTTTAGTTAAGTTTGGGCATAAACACACGGTAGGTTTTGAAACGGATGTAGAGACACACACTCTAAAAATGCTGGGTTGTTTTAACCCAACTTTGGGTCAAATGGACAAACCCAAACGTTGGGTTAAAATGTCATTAAAAAAGTAAAAGTTGAAATTTAAATGACATTTTTAACCCAACATATGGGTTTGTCCATATTTGACCCAAATTTTTGACGTTTCACGTCCACAGAGGCACTGCAAGGACATTTTGGAAACGTATCTGGTCTTTAATTTCAGAGGCAGATGAACGAGGCACTGACCTCGGGTCTGAAACTGTGTGTTCTGGCGTATCTACTGAGTCCAGGGGCTCCCCTGGCTGCGGCTGACCCATCCGTGCCACTCTGCCGGTCTAGACACCACTCCTGTGAGTGAGTGAAGGAGGGAGAGGAGGAGAGGAGACAGAGGGAGGTGCATGGGGATCGGTGAACGACAAACAGAATCCACACAAACGAGACGAGAAAGAGTGGAGGGGGGGGAAACTGAAGGTGGGTTTAAGCAAAACTCAAAAGTGTGAAATGCAAGAAAGGGTGACAACTTCCAAAAATGTTTATGAATTAAATAATAATGATTAAAAAAATAAATAAAAAATAAAGAGAGAGAGAGCCAGCAGGCTACAAGACAAAGAAAAGCGCAAAAAGAAAGACCAACTTAAAGATGATGGCGTATGAGAGAGACGAGAAGAGAACGAGAATGAGGAGGAACAGAATCATGGGCTGAAACATCTGGGAACGGGATGAGGGATCAAGAGAGAAGAGGGGAAGGACCAAGGGGGAAAAAAGAATGCAAAACACTGGTTATGAAGCGCATGCGATGGGGATACATGAGTCTTACAACCAATAACCCAAAATGTGCCGTGACAGCGGGGACTAAACGCTAATGAGTCGAGCCAAGCCTCAGTCAAAGCCCTACTACTAAAACGACTGTAAATTATAACTTAATATTAAGCTAATAAATACAATTGTAATCATAATTGAAATAAAGATTAATAATTATTTAACATATATTAAGGAAATAGTTAAATTAACACATTTCTAAAAAATTATTATGTTACTTTTTAGCTTAACAATTGCTGGGTTGTTTTAACCCAACTTTGGGTCAAATATGGACAAACCCAGCCATTGGGTAAAATTTTGTAATTACATTTTTAACCCAACATTTGGGTTTGTCCATATTTGACCCAAAGTTGGGTTAAAACAACCCAGCATTTTTAGAGTGTAAGCTGATAATTAAAATAGTTAGTTACATTAAAATAATTCTATTTGTTTTTTTTAAATATTTAACTAGATAGCTTTTATTTTCAGTGTATTCTATTCAATAATTAATTACATTAATTCAAGTTACTTAAATATTGGATTTACAACAATAAATATGTTATGATATACACAGTTTGTTATATGGGATACATCATGGTACAGTGTTGGGTCACTTGACGTTTCCCCATCCTGAAAGCAAAGCCATTCGATAACCAAAGTTATATACAAATGACAGTTTTACTTAGGTATTAACAATTAGCCTGCTAAACTAACTAGGACATATTTAATAGTTTTATATAAAACTATTTTATGGTTGACAATCCATACAAACGTATTGTATCATACTATACACTCCAACTCTGGATCAAACATGGACAAACCCAGCCATTGGGTAAAATTTTAAAATAACTTTTTAACCCAATGTTTGGGTTTGTCCATCCATATTTGACCCAAAATTGGGTTAAAACAACCCAGCATTTTTTAGAGTGGTGTATTTTTTGATTATAACTGTAAGTTTGATGAGCACTAACAGAATAATGCTACGTAACAAACAGCTCAAGGACGGGTAGGACTTTGACAGGGGCTTGAGTTTGGCAACATGTTGCTCACAGCGAAGCTCAGCCATGCGATGGAAGCAGCGTAGCAGTGAGCTGAAGCTTTAAATACACATCCTATAGGAGCGATCTCAGGGCTGTTGTCATTAACATCAAACCGTTCATAGATGTGAGGTGACTTCATGCTGGATGAAGAGTGTTTCTGTGGTTGGATTGAAGTGACGTGACCCAAAGCAAAGAACCGATGGGTTCCACCAATGAACGTGAGCCAAATAAAGTCCCTTTCACACACCCCGTTGATCCCAGGAAGTTGTCGGGAAATTGCCAGAACGCCTTCCGTGTGAACGCAAACACGATCGAGGATTGATAGCGGGAATAAATATCCATTAAAAAGGCTAGATGTCTTACGGTGGAGTCTCTATCGTCATCACCGGCGGCCATCTTGGCACAGGCAAGCTTTCTGGCGGGCTCTGTGGTTCCTGATGTGATATGAGTGATCAGCACGAACACAAATACTCTCATCTCGCTGAAATCTTGACGGATTTACAAACGTTTTGGTTTCTTACAAACGTTATTAACGTGGCTATAATTCTGGATGATTATTTATTGACACACGTATTATTCAGTGTCATAAGCTACATCTCTGACATCTGTAACAAACCAAACCGTTTGAAAATCGGTAGAAAATTGAGCAAGTTATGGTTGTTTAAAAAGTACATGCACCATTAAACACAATGTTATGAGTGAGCGAGCTGCCTGTGGCAAGATGGCCGCCAGCGCGGACGTCGACCTCCATTGGCCAGCAGCGCGATGAGACATCTAGCCTTTATTATGGATATCTATGAGGTTGCGGACCAAGTAACATTGCCAATATCAGTCCCGGAACGCTGCTGTGTGAACAAAAGCCGTAATCAATGCCGTGTCGTAGCCGGGATCGTTCGCAAACAAGTGAAACGCTACGTAATGCGCTAGTATATGATCGAATCAGAGAGAGAGAGAGAAGAGAAATCGCAGCTCATAAGCAAACTTAAGACACTGCTGAGACATTACATGTTACACCGATGTCACGTATTCGTGGATTTTTACGGGTTGTGTGTGTGAACACACTCTCTGATTCCAGAAAATCACTGGCAGTGTGAATTAAGTGTGTATTTTCCAGAATCTCTGTGTGAAAGGGGCTTAAGTGAATTAACCAATCTGGAAAATGTTGGAATTATGATTGGAATCTCATTCAGACACTCAGAATACGATAAACTACGCCAAACCCGTAGTTTTAAAAGGTTATTTGTTGGAAAATTGACTCATGTTATTATCATAAACCAGTTTCAAAGCACAAAGCAGGAAAAAAAAGCTACAAGCAGTTCTATGGAAGTTAGCTTAAGACAATTTAGCATGTGAAACTCATTCATTGAGACAAAAGACGGATCAGCTCCATTATTCCTGAGAATGAGCAAGTCACATAAATATACAGAGTAGGGGTGGCACGGTACATGAAAAAACACCCGAACCGTTCGGTTCGCTTGTCTCGGTTCGGAGCGCGTGTGCGTCTCACGGTTCGACGCATGCGCAATGTAACCTCGTGCACGTATGTGACGTGTGTTTTCTTTTCGCGCGACATAAACTTGTTCGACTTGGACCGGCGCTCATCAATAACATCAATCTAGCGCGATTCGGCTCCGTATGCATTCATCACTTTCGCGGTATTTGATGTCATTAGCGATCGCTCTGTGCAGCGCCGGTTCAAGTTAATAAACAAGCCAGTAAAAGTGGAGTATGGAGCGCTGCAGGTCACGGCACGCGGAGAAATGGCAAGTGGGAGAGATGAGGGAGTTGGAGGACGCGCCAGCGTCGTATAAGTCTATGGTATAAGTCCGGTGTGTGGGAACATTTTGGATTTCATGTTATGATATTTTAATTTAACTACAGTGGCACTTTATGTATAGATAAGAGCTTCAGTCATACGTTTCCAAACCCTGCACTTTAATTTTAAGTGGAAAAAAGTACCCTCACATTTTGGGAATAGAAGCATTGTTGATACTGTTTTTGTGTTGAGGTTGAATTTCAATTTCACTTTATGTTTATGGCCTTTGCTATTGCTATAGCTTAATTATCTATAGGCAATGAGGTTTCATGTATATTGACATTTAAAAGACAGTGTTTTAAGAGTTCCTCTCTTTTTCTTTTAAAAGATAGAATTTTGGTAAGAGCTACAAAAGTTAGCAGTTGATACATGAAAGTTAATTTCTTTGTGTAAATAAGATTTATGTGATAAAAAAGTTCTTGTAGAGATAGTGATACACATTCTCCTTTTTTGCCAAATAAACAAAAAGCATGTCAATTTCTTCTCTCTTGCTGTATCTAAATCTGAGATGAAATCTAAAATTCAGTTTGTGCATGATTGCATGAATATAATATATATTTTTTAATACTGTATCCTAAAGTGTGGATAATTAAGCTATATATCACATGCTGAAGTACATTTCTGGAGTGTTAAAGATTAAAAGAAAAAATAACAAGAACCGTACAGAACCGAAAACCGTGACCCTAAAACCGTGATACAAACCGAACCGTGGGTTTTGTGAACCGTGCCACCCCTAATACAGAGACATTCTGTGTATTCAGAGTAGGTTTACAATTCATACGGAGCCTCTGGAGGTTATTCCCAAAATAAAAAATACGCAGTGTAAGCACTTTTTATTTGCCATATATCTTATATTTATAGCTGCAAGCTCCACATATGTTGCATCAGCATTAACTGTGCAAATAAAAAAAACGTAGATTTGCTCAACACCAGTACCCATTTGATCGAAAAACTTGTTTTACCGCCATTTTAACTGATGTTAGTATGCATCATGCAGCATCAACAGGGCCCAAAAATGACAAGTGCCAATAAATAGAAATAAAAATAAGATTAGGGATGCACCGATATGAACATTTCGGCCGATACCGATAACCGATAAGTCTTTATATTTGAAAGCCGATAACCGATATATTGGCTGATAAATCTAAATCCAAATTTTTGTAGTTTATTATTTTTGAGAGCCTGATTACATCTCATCATTAAAAGCCAAATTTTCTTATCAGGCCAAAACACAACTTTTTTATTAAAATCATATATCTGCCGATATATCATGCATCCCTAAATTTAATTACGATATCCTAATTAATGTATAATTCTGGTATTTAACACCTTGAGTCTATTTTGTAGTTTGTTTTAAATGAAATAGAGTGGTGGACTTAGAAATTTTGACAATGGGTCCTGTCTCGAATTTTTCGAATTTTAGAATCGCCAGTGACAACTTTAGTGACAAAGTTTAGACAACTTTAAACATGTCCTTAAAACAACGCTTAACGTTCATTTTCAAAACTGTGCAACTCACCGAGTGGTTGGTGGTGTTCGTTGATGATTAAAAACAAATATACTGGCGCTATGTATGCTTTCAATCTGTGTTGTTTGCTATAGTGGAACTATTTTTTCAGATACCTCACAACCGCGTATAAACTTCCGCTCGATATTTGAGTCTGAAGCGTTAGCACACTCCCGACCACTTGATGGCGACAACCAGGACGCTGTACGGAACAGTCCGGGAGCACAGTTGCTCTGCTCACGCTAGCCTTCTGAGAGACGGAGAACCGAGCGAAAAGACTACAACCAAATGTAAACAGACCCCTTTCCGTTTCCGGTAGCTAGCGCAGTAATATCAACGAGCACTGAGTCCTCCAGCCGACATCAATGCGATTTTAAAAAATGACAAATAAAATACGTCAGAAACGGTATTTCGCTACGCTACTTGTTTCGGAACATCAACGAACACCACCAACCACTAAATATGCATGAAAAAAAAACTGATTTAATCGGTATAGACATCAAAAAAAAAATGTCTGTAAGGGATATTTATTAGGGCTGGGTAATAAATATCTATTTCTCGAAATTAATCGATTTTCGTTTTTACGAACCGATATCGATTCTCTCAAGAATCGATTAGTCATCCTGTTTCATTTGAATGAATGGGACACTGTATCGCGGCTGCGCGCATGCAAAAACTCACAATAATCTTTGTCCTTTGTTACTATTGATATGAAACAAAGTCTCAATTTTCAAATTACGTCCATTTTCTTTAGAAATTCAAACACATAAATAGCGTTTTGGCGCTGTGGCGTGAGATCGCTCTGGCGCAGCTCTAGAGAAGCAGCAGCGCTGATCTCTCTTCCGGCTTAATAATACCAGTCACAGCACCAAATAAACATGAATGAGCATCTGAAAGTGTGTTAAAGATAGAGTACAACTTATCGAAATCCATATCATGTCACATTGATTCGCTCAATCAGCGTTTCAACCGTGGAAAGACGTCAGTTAAACAGCTTGTAATCAATGTATCGTCATATTTACCTCAGAAAACCCACATAAACTCGTTAGTCAGCTAGAAAAAATATAATTTGCTAAATATATACACCATATTACGCATTATAATCTTAATGTTCTTCAATATTTAATGCATATTTGAATAAATCTGGCAAGTTTTTGACAGCCACCATTTAAATGTTTATATTTCATATAATCTTCTTATTATAAAAATAAATAAAAGTCTAATTTAAGTGTTTGTATAGCTACAAAACAGTTATTACCTTCATATTAGGCTAATGAAGCCAAGTAGGCTACAACTAGACTCCCATAGTTTACAGCATTAGTTAAGAGATTTGATTTCCTTATGAAAATTTGCCATTTATTGTAACTGATATCCAAAATAATCAATATTGAATCGAATCGAAATCGAATTGCAAGCTTGTGAATCGAAATCGAATTGTGAAATTTGTGTCAATACCCAGCCCTAATATTTATGGAAAACAAATATTTCTCAGTTCACCTACTATTGGCACAGTAAATTTTGGACCCCGCAAAATGGGATTGTGGGTATGAAGAGAGGGCAGGAACAGATGCAGGTGTTCATGGTGGTTACTGCTAGGGAAGGAGAGGTATGGGCATCTTGGCTTAGCTGGGTGGCACTCTGTCATGTGTGGGTAAAGGTAATGTGCAATGCATTGTGGGATATACTATTTCACGCAGTTGCTCGCCTTGCTCTGTTCAGAATCGGAAAAAGATTCGTTCATTTTGATGAACGAGTTCGGACAGTAGAGTCACAAACGCGCATCGCAGAACAGAGCAAGGCGACCATTTGAGCTTATAAAACGTAAACTTTGTTATTTATTTATTAAACGAGCGATCGTTTCGCTTGATAAGACCCTTATCAACAGTTTGCAGTTTTTACTTAAACAGTCTTTTAGACCTTGAACCGTTTGGTTCCCATTGAAGTCCATTAAATGGAGAAAAATCCTGGAATGTTTTCACCAAAAACCTTAATTTCTTTTTTAAACCTTGATTTAAAAAGAAAGAAAGACGTGGACATCTTGGATGACATGGGGGTGAGTAAATTATCAACAAAAGTTTTTTCGAAAGTGAACGACTCCTTTAACATTTCTTTTCACCTCACATAAATATTGAGTTGACGAATCATGCCATCCAAAGTTAGTCGAATAGCTTCCTTTCATGACTGGCGGTGTATGGACATGAAGATGCAGAATCAATATAAAGGTGTATGCATTCTCACAAAGGGACTTTCAAATGAGGAAGCAGCAAAGGAAAAGAAAAGTTGCCATGTCACGTGATTGCAAACACCGAATAAAGATGAAGGGTCGGGTTACACATATCCTACCTGGAAGTCCGTCACCAGATCCCTTCCCAGAGTGCCGATGGGCGAGTCTCTTGACATGGAGGTAACAGTGGAAAGGAAGCTGCTAGATTCAGTGAGGTTGGGCATGGGGGAAAGGTCATCGACGCGATCCCGTAGACCCTCCCCAAGGTGGTCCACTTTGTTCATGAATTGCTGGAGTTCTGTACGGAAAGCCCTCATGCGGGTGTTGACCGAATCCAGCACCTGAGAGTCGGGTTTCGAGTCTCCATCGCCCCTGAACTCTGAACCCTCCGCAAGAAGATCCCCTCCCAGGACGACCAGACCACCTTCGAGGATCAGACTGTCCGTATCCGTGATGAGCCGCTCCACTGTTTTTCCAAGCCGTTCGGCTTCACGCCTGACGTTGTTGAGCGTCTCTCGGTCTTCCCGTCTCCGCTGGGCCACTCCCAGCTCACCAGTATCCGAGGGTTTCTCGCCACTGGCGAATCCAGAGGTGGCCGTCTTCTCAAACAAGTCATCAGAGTCGCTCTCGCCGCCAACAGGACCCTCACGTTTGGGGTGGAGCAGCAGAAGCCTGGCAGTCTCGTCCTCATCGGTTTCCCTTCGCCCGGGATCACTATCCACATCAGGGCTACTGGTGCGCATTCCCAAGTGTGCTGCCAGGTCACAGCGCTGCATATTGGAGATTAGCACCCGGTTCTCGTACTGAAGCTTCATGACCTTCCCGCTTAGCTCGTTGACCTGGAGTCTAGCGGCTTTGAGCTCCTCCTGGAGTGTGGCGCCACTCCCTGCTCCCGAAAAACCATTCCCAGGTTTGATCGCACCAGCACCTCCACCCTCAGCTCCTTCGGACTCCCGTTCGGCTTGGCTAGGCCCGAATTTGAAGCGGTTGAGCTCGGATGTCAGTTGTTTGTTGTGGTCCTCGATCTCAGAAATGGAGCGACGCAGCAGCTCTGCCTCCTCTTCAACAAACTGCAAGTGCCGTCGCAATTCGCTCGCAGATTCCAGGGCGTCGCCACCGTACGGTGAGGTAGGGACACTTGAGAAGGGTTCGCGCCCAAAGCAATCCCTCTCATATTGGCAGCGCAGGTCTTCGTTTTCCGCCCTGAGGCCACGGTTCTCAACCTCCAGCTCTACAATCTTCCTCCCCAGGATGTTGGCTTCCTCTTCGACCAGTTTGAGCCGTAAGCGTAACTCGGCTTCCCGGGTGGTGTGAGGTCCTCCACCGGACACCTCCGCCAGGGGCAAAGGGCTGTCCACGTCGCCGTATACTGATTTATACTTCTGCAATTCCTGTTCCAGTTCATCTTTCTCACGGCCAATTTTTGCCATCTTTTTACGCATGAGGGCCGATTCCTCCTTGGCAAACTGTAGCTGACAGCGCAGATCTGCACTGTCCTCCTGAAAAGTAAGAAATATGTGAATGTACAAGGCAATACCAATCATTTGGAAGGAGTAGTTCACTTTTGAAAAAACTTTAATCACCCCCATGTCATCCAAGATGTCCATGTCTTTCTTTCTTCAGTCGAAAAGAAATTAAAGGAGAACTCCTGCGAACAATGAACCTTTGGTCTAATAAAACATCGGTGCCTAGTCAATTGTTCTCTGAGATTTGTTTTCTTGATAATCGAATGTAAAGAGTTTTATCTCTAAAAACTGTTTAGCGTATAATGCTAGTACTGGGGGCATTGACTAAGTAAAAGAAATGGCTAGTTTTTACCACTAACAAGGCTCAAAATAGCCCCACACTAACGCAGTAACATACTGAGGCTCCATACATGCAAAACGAAGCATTGAGAACTTTGTAAGTGTACAGACCGTTTAATAAGAAGATACTTTATGAAGACAGTTCACTTCACGTATACAGGCAGGAGCCATCTTAGGAAATAGTCTCGATAAGTCGATCCCCGAAAGCGGTTCATACAGTTCAGAAGTTCGCTGAACTTCATACAGCTCAGATCACTCAGCACGTCGTTCGGGGATCGACTTATCGAGACTATTTCCTAAGATGGCTCCTGCCTGTATACGCGAAGTGAACTGTCTTCATAAAGTATCTTCTTATTAAACGGTCTGTACACTTACAAAGTTCTCAATGCTTCGTTTTGCATGTATGGAGCCTCAGTATGTTACTGCGTTAGTGTGGGGCTATTTTGAGCCTTGTTAGTGGTAAAAACTAGCCATTTCTTTTACTTAGTCAATGCCCCCAGTACTAGCATTATACGCTAAACAGTTTTTAGAGATAAAACTCTTTACAATCGATTATCATGAAAACAAATCTCAGAGAACGGTCGACTATGTACCGATGTTTTATTAGACCAAAGGTTCATTGTTCGCCGGAGTTCTCCTTTAAGGTTTTTGATGAAAACGTTCCAGCATTTTTCTTCATATAATGGACTTCAATAGGAACCAAATGGTTTAAGGTCCAAAAGACAAGAGTCATTTGGTTCATTCAACGAACGAAACGAACGAATTGACTCAGAAAAAGATTTGTTCATTTTGATGAACGAGTCCGAACAGGAGAGTCACAAACGTGCATCACAGGCGACCATTTGAGCTTATAAAACTTAAACTTAGTTATTTATTTATTAAATAAGCAATCGTTTCGCTTGATAAAACCCCTTATTCGTCGTCTAGTGTCGTTTAAAGCCCTTTGAACAGTTTGCAGTTTGCACTGAAACTGTCTTTTGGACCTTGAACTGTTTGGTTCCCATTGAAGTCCATTATATGGAGAAAAATGCTGGAATGTTTTCATCAAAAACCTTAATTTTTTTTCAACTGAAGAAAAAATGACATGGACATCTTGGATGACATGGGGGTGAGTAAATTATCAGCAAAAGTTTTTTGAAAAGTGAACTACTCCTTTAACTTTAATTCATTTTTATTTCAGTTTTAGTAATTTAGTAAATCAACGAACTTATTTTATTTGAAGTTTTTTCATCTAACATTATTTTATTTCAGCTTTATTTCAATTTACAAAAACAATTAGTTTGAACAATTTATGAAATTAAATATATGGAACTTATAGTACCAATAAACAGGTACAAATTGTACTTTAGTGAATAAATCAAATGGATACATAAATAAAAGCATCTAAATAAATGATGTTTAAGAGGCAAAATATTTGGTGGTTTAGATTTGTGTTGTGTTGAGTTGTTCTGTATAAGGCATGTGAATTGATTTCTGTGTTTGTTTGTACACACCTGAGTTAAAGACTTCTTATCTTTGAAAGTTTCTCTACTGCCTCTCCTCCGCAGAGCAGTCTGAAAGACAACAAGAGCAAAGTTAGACAATGTAAAGTGAACAAGGTAGATTGACAAAAAGTGCATTTTCATTGCAGTTACCAGTAGGGTTGGATTGGCCAGTTTCGATTCATTCCAGTAAGGTAAAATTTAGTCAAACATTTATATCAAACATATTTATTCTGTGTCTTTTGGCAAAACATATTGTTGCAGCTGATATTTATGAAAAATCAGCAGCCTAAAGAACAGTAACATTTTCCTATGGTTTTAACAAAAATACCACATCAAACCACTGGACTAACTAATATAAATATCAAACATTATTAAAGACAAGTAATCAGGAATAAAATAAGAATGAATAAACAAATTAGTTATAACTGAACAAGTTCAGATGCAGAAATTGTAATCAAATGTAAAATATCACTGCAATTTTTAAGAATTCCCAGCCCTATTACCAGTACTGGTAACCTTCATGAACAACTGGGGCAGACAGAAGCGTTTATAAATAAATGAATAAATCATTTTGAATAAATTTGATTTGATCACACCATCAATTCTGAATATCATATCAACCTTAAACCCATTATTATGTGAATTACAGGTGCTGTTCCTTATGGCAGACCTTCTTTATATCTCAGAAAATTACATACGGAATCCATACAAGAAAAGAAAAGCTGGTACACTCTAAAAAATGCTGGGTTGTTTCAACCCAAATTTGGGTCAAATATGAACAAACCCAAATGTTGGGGTTAAAAAATGTACAGTTGAAAGTGAAAGTTGAAGTTGGGTTAAAATTTTAAATGACATTTTTAAGCCAACATTTTGTCCATATTTGACCCAAATTTAGGTTAAAACAACCCAGCGTTGTTTAGAGTGCAACTTTTCCAATACACTCTAAACAATGCTGGGTTGTTTCAACCCAAATTTGGGTCAAATATGGACAAACCCAAATGTTGGGGTTAAAAAATGTACAGTTGAAAGTGAAAGTTGAAGTTGGGTTAAAATTTTAAATGACATTTTCAACCCAACATTTGGGTTTGTCCACATTTTACCCACATTTGGGTTCAAACAACACATCATTGTTTAGAGTGAAGCTTTGCAGGTGATCAATGGTCAACAAAAACAATCTGGAAATGAAAATGCAGAGAATAAACAAAGCTAGTTTGGGATTTCCACAATTTTCAAGATGGACAATCAGCTTTAAGTGCCTTTCTTGCACTTTTGCAAAATGGGAATCTGAAATTGATTTTGAATTGCAGCATATGTGAATCAGGAAAAAAAAATGGATGGAAAGGAATGGATGTGGCCAGAAAACTTAATAATCAAGAGTACACTGAATGGACAAGAATGGTGGAAAATGAAGTTTACTATATTTCCAGGTTGTTACATACAAGGTGAAATCAAGCCGACCCACTTGAGCTGCTTCTCAGTGTTGCCATGAGAGGTGCACACATTAGCATGAACTAGTTTATCTGAAGGAGAGATGATCAAGACAGTCATGGCAGAGCAAGTTTCAAGAGAATCGTACTGAGCAAGTCAGTAAATGTGTAAACAAACACATCCAATTATGTTGCTATAACCATTGGCAGATCACACACGGTCTCTTACTTAAATCAAAAATGTAAATACTAGTCAAACTTTGCCCTGCTTACTGCTGGTCTATCTTGAGTCATTCGCTGAACTTAAATAGCTGCTGCTGATGGCTGTGTTAGCTTGAATCATTTATGGCCAGACAGATGGAAAGTGTGAGATGGGTACAGGAGAGGAGGGAGTTGTTCATCAACACACAGCATACATCCCCAAAACAAAGGGAGGAGGTGATGAGGTGATTTCTATGTGGGTTTGGTTGAGTCTGCAATATGGTTACAATTTACGGTTCATAATTTCCCCATTCACGTTAAGACAGCCTCCAATGAAGTCATCATCACTAGCTGGCACACAAACACAAGTCAAAAATTACTATTACTCAGAGAAACTATTGAACTTTAGTGTGCAAAAAAACTTTTGCTGATAATTTACTCACCCCCATGTCATCTAATATGTCCATGTCTTTTTTTCTTCAGTCGAAAAGAAATGAAGATTTCGATGAAAACATTCCAGGATTTTCTCCATATAATGGACTTCAATGGGGTCCAAATGGTTCAAGGTCCAAAAGAGAGTTTCATTGCAGCTTCAAAGGGCTTTAAATGATTAAAGACGCTGAATAAGGGTCTTATCAAGTGAAACGAACGGCCATTTCAGAAATAAATAAAAAAGTTTAAGTTTTATAAGCACAAATGCTCGCCTAGCTCTGTTCTGTGACTCTCCAGTAAGAACTCGTTCATCAAAATGAAAGAATCTTTTTTTGAATCAATTCATTCATTTAGTTCGTTGAATGAATGAAATTACTCAAAAAAGATTCGTTCGAACAGGAGAAAACTGCACTGAAACTCTCATTTGGACCTTGAACCGTTTGGACCCCATTGAAGGCCATTATATGGAGAAAATACTGGAATGTTTTCATCAAAAACCTTAAATTCTTTTCGACTGAAGAAAGAAAGACGTGGACATCTTGGATGACATGGGGGTGAGTAAATTATCAGCAAAAGTTTTTTTTAAAGTGAACTACTCCTTTAAGATGGTATATTCATGCATGAGTTCATGTTGTAGTTAAGGTTTGTTCCTCATTCGTACATGGCTTAACTCATCATTAGTTCATGGTAAAGTAACTATTAATTCAGGTATTAATACATGATTATTCATGCACTATTATTGTAAAGTGTTACCTACTTATGTAATGTGTAATATGTTAGTTTGGATAGATGAATAGATTATATTGCACCCCATAAACAAAATCATGCAAAGAAAAAAAGCAGTAACCCACCCCTTTCATTTAATAAAAATATCTTTTGAATGGTAGAGAGCAACCTCTGAATAACATGAATATTGCAATTTCTTGTGAAAAGAAAAAAAGGTTGAGTAGTACAAGGAGAGAGAATCAGACAGAGGCAGATAATGCTCACAACAGTGGTCAAGGTTAGATAATCACAGTCGACTAATCCTGCTGTCTGGCCTCGTCCCAAATCACGCCTACATTCACAGACACACAGCTACTGTCCATCTTTTTTTGGACTCCTGCCTCAGTTTCCAGAAACAGTAACTGGAACAGCTTAGATATATTACAATTAATACAGAAATATATTTATGAGTTAATATTCAACCTAAATAGGCATGACTTAAAGGTAGCAAACAAGTAGAAAAAACAAGCGTGTAAATCAACAGATCTGCACTCTAAACAATACTGGGTTGTTTTAACCCAAATTTGGGTCAAATACGGACAAAACCAAATGTTGGGTTAAAAAAACTTCAACTTTCACTTCAACTGTACTTTTTAAAATTACATTTTTAACCCAACATTTGGGTTTGACTATATTTTACCCAAATTTGGGTTAAAACAACCCAGCATTGTTGTTAGTTCTAGTGCGCAACACATGCTGCGTTTCTTGCAAGATTTTGAATTTAAAAAATGATGGTATCATTGTATCACATGTACATTTTTGATAATTTCAATGATGGTGAATACAGGTTAGAATGTGTTTTCAAGGGGCTTTAGTTGTGATGAAAATACACACAACAGAAACACACACTCTATTCAGCATGAGCACAAAGCTTCAGTCGTCTGTCTTTGCTGCATATAGAGGTTATTCTCTCTCCCTAAAAATGTCCCAGAATCTCAGATCAGAATGTGTCAATTGGTTTGGAAAGGCTGAAGTTGTATCTACAGGTCCAGGATCAGTGTTTTTCTGAAACTCAGGGGAGGTTTGTCTCCATCTGCCGTCCAGCAGGAGGTCTTTGTGGAGGAAGCAGGACACATTCAGCCATTCATTATTCCACATTCGGAAAACACTTCATTTCACCAAATTAATCTGCAAATAGCCAGAATTTGCCACTCGAACCAACATCCATGCATTTCATATTGATATTTTTAGTTATGCACAAATCTCGCTGTATACAGCTTGCAGAAATACAGGACGGACTGAAGTGAGTTTAATCAAGGTTGACTGCTATCTAATATCTGCTGATCTATCCTGACTGACTCTGCAGTCCAGCGCTGTGACTGAGCTGAGATACAACTGAGGTCGACTCAAAGTCACTAACACACACCCGGGAAGACACGGGACATCTGCTGCCTGACACAACACACAACCGTACACTCGCTCTCACCGACTTTGGATTTGCTCTGAATCTGATACCTGTGCTTACTGTGAGGATCTGATTATAATACCATGGGTTTTTTTTGTAAATATATGATGAGTTGTTTGATTAGCAAATTCACATGATATGACATGTACTGCGTCAGTGTTCTCATTTCTGTGAGCTAATTCGTAATGTACTGAAATAAATTAAGACAATATCACATCAAATTGCTTTGGTGTATATAATACCAAAATATAATACATATATTAGGCACTTTTACATTTAATAATTGTTTTGCAGATTGATGATAGACAGAACAATACAAAGACAGATAGACAGATAGATAGACAGACAGACAGACAGACGGACGGACGGACGGACGGACAGACAGACAGACAGACAGACCGAATGATAGACAGATAGATAGATAGAGAGAGAGATAGATAGAGAGATAGATAGATAGATAGATAGATAGATAGATAGATAGATAGATAGACAGACTGATCAATAGACAGGCAGCTAGATGGATAGACAGACAGTTAGCAGACGGACGGACGGACGGACGGACGGACGGACAGACAGACAGACAGATAGATAGACAGACAGACAGATAGATAGACAGACAGACCGAACGATAGATAGACAGACAGATCGATAGACAGATAGATAGACAGACAGACAGACAGACAGACAGACAGATAGACAGACAGACAGACCGAACGATAGATAGACAGACATATCGATAGACAGATAGACAGACAGACAGACCGAACGATAGATAGACAGACAGACAGACAGACAGAAAGATAGACAGATAGACAGACCAAACGATAGACAGATAGATA